AGTAGCCCATCTTCATATTTATATGAACATCCATTGAACTCTTGATCACCTTGCACAGATTATGTGAAGAATTTGACAATCTTTTCTTTCAAAAACATTATCCGTCTATTCATTTTGTATGCATTACTCTCATTAGGATCATTGGTGAGTTGGAGCCGATCTCAGCTAACCGGTTGCCAGTCATTCGTAGGGCACATCAAGACAAATAGTCACAGTCACCAATGTACAGTTTAGTACAATTCAGTCTCCGATGACAATAATATTTTGAGGAAGTGGAAGGAAGCCAGAGCAGCTGGAGAAAACCCACGAAAGCACGGGGGAGAACATGCAAACTCCAGACAGGAAGGGCGCGGGTGAGATTTGAACCCCACAACCAAGTTGCAGCCCAAAAATATTAATTAACAATTATCAAATGGATATATTTTGTGGTTCATGAGCAAATAGTAAAATAGATAAAAGCTTCAAGCATATCAAGCAAATCATATCACCAAATTGATCAGAACTCTGTGAAACAAGAATCTTGAAGTGCTGAACGGAAGTAGCCCATATTCATATTTATATGAACATCCATTGAACTCTTGATCACTTTGCACAGAATATGTGAAGAATTTGACACAATCTTTTCTTTAAAAAACATTATCCATCTATTCATTTTGTATCGCATTACTCTCATTAGGATCATTGGTGAGTTGGAGCTGATCTCAGCTAACCGGTTGCCAGTCATTCGTAGGGCACATCAAGACAAATAGTCACAGTCACCAATGTACAGTTTAGTACAATTCAGTCTCCGATGACAATAATATTTTGAGGAAGTGGAAGGAAGCCAGAGCAGCTGGAGAAAACCCACGAAAGCACGGGGGAGAACATGCAAACTCCAGACAGGAAGGGCGCGGGTGAGATTTGAACCCCACAACCAAGTTGCAGCCCAAAAATATTAATTAACAATTATCAAATGGATATATTTTGTGGTTCATGAGCAAATAGTAAAATAGATAAAAGCTTCAAGCATATCAAGCAAATCATATCACCAAATTGATCAGAACTCTGTGAAACAAGAGATGGAGGGAATGAAAACATGAACTTTGTGGTGGAGATGAACAACTAATTCTTTGATACCATCACAACTACCATCACTAAGGAGAGAATGTCATGCTCCCATCTTGTGACAAAACTTTCTGCGGTCAAGTGTTGCACAATAACTAGCAGCAGTCAATGGCCAGTTTCTCATACTAACAAAAAACAAACAAAAAAGTAAATTGTAAAGCCACTCTGTTAAAAGGACTATTTCCTATGGTGAGTATGATGTTCAAAACGTGCCCAAATAACATCACCGTCATACTCGAGCAAATCTCGGCGGGTCTTCAAAACAAAAACTTAGAAAAACGTGATCAACAATGAACATCCATTTTTATACTGAATAAAATTTGCGCGCACAGACACACAGACAGACAGACAGACAGACAGACAGACAGACAGACAGACAGACAGACACACACACACACACACATATAAAAAAATTGGCAACACCAGCGAAAATAGGCCATTATAGATCTGAATTTAATATTCAAAGTCTTCAGAAAGTTGACACACTTTGGGAGGTACATGTATGTAGACCAAGGATGGGCAACTGGCTGTGGCCAACGGGCCACACTTTGAGTGGCCCTTTGATTAATTCCCCCAATCCCAATAAAAACAAGAACATTCTGATGAACACTCATTACATAATCCCTGTAATATAAGGGCTATATGCACTGGACTTTATGACAGTAGTTTGACATGTCGTAAACAGCTGCTACCAGGTTACTAGAGCAATCCCTACGTTCATGCTCAGAAATATTATTGATGCTACCGTTTATGCTGGGCCGTACTGTTTGCGAGCGACAAGTAAATATTTTTCTGATAACTGCAAGTACTTGTGTGGACAATGGATTACTTGACGTTCCATATGGAGAACACGGAAAAATGTGCAAAAACATCCCGGAAAAATCGGAAAATATCCAAAAGTCAATTATCTGGTGTGGTACCCAGGGGGCGTCCAAGCATATTTCAGCGGTGGGGGTGGAATGGCCTCACAACCGTCCTCCCTTGTCTCCACCAGTGAGCGAGGGTACTTCTTTTATTTGTGTTGGATATGCACAACGTATAAGAAAACACAACATTCTAACAAAGGATAGACTTGAGAAAGACTGAAGTAATACTTCCTCTTAATTTGAAAAACAGCAGGTCAAACCACAGCACGTGAATGCAAATTGCAGTTCAACCTAGTCAGACCTGTTGCTTGGAGCTCTGTTCCTCAGAGTAGAAACGGCTGACTGCATTCAAATGAGGCAAGGAGGGAAAATAATCTGCAATCAATGCACAGCCCTGAAGTTAAATATGTAAGTTGGTAATACTCAAACTGTTTTTGAAGTGACAATATACTGTAATTATATAATAAAAAATTTCTCCCCGATGACCCTGTTGTGAGGTTGGACATGTGTACACGAATTTAAGGTTTTACGTCACTATATTATTAAATTTTAATTTAAGCCAGTTTTTTTTTTTTTTTGGTTGAATTAGTCTTACTTTAGAGTATATTACACTCCCCAAAATACTGTTTTAAAGTTCAATCCAGCAATATGGGGCAATATTTTTTATTTTTTTCGTCTATTTGACATTCATTCCCTATTCCCCTATTCCCTACATAGCTTTTAACTTTACACAATCCATTGGGTTGAAAATTAAGTTTATCAGTAATGTTATAACAACAACACCATCACCGTTGCAAAGTAACTACATAGTGATACCTTTATGTAAACGTAAGATGTGAAAATTCACAACTATGGAAATTGTATTCATTAAAGACATCACAACTAATAGAGTAATAAGTAAAATCATACACTTCAGTCCTAGGTGGGCGCTTCCACTGATTGAAATCCAAAAGCTACTGTCGGCTAAGAGTGTGTGTGACTGCCCTTGCCTTTTCGCTTACTTTTGCTTCCCTCTTGTTCTCGCTCCATTTCATCCTCCCTCTATTTCTGAAGATACTCTGCTCGTCTTTTTGGATCTGCCCCACCCTTTGCTTTGAAGCAATGCTGCATTAGTGCTGGTGCTATTCCCTCACAAAAATGTACAATTTGAATTTGTTCAATCACATGATCATGCACCTTGTAAGTAAAAATAGTTTAAAATAACGATCACTAACTGTATAAATGCATATGGGCGGATAGTTTATATGCAATTCGAGCCAGTGCTATGAGTTGCTGCTCTGTGAATCAGTGAATTAGTGAATTAACTCGATATCTGTTCACAAAAAGTTAACTTTAATATATAAAGTATATCAAACAAGTTCCAAAAAAAGGGAAAAAAGCCAAACAAAAAGTTTACTATCACCCCACTTTGCTGGTTTAACTTCCATTCACAAGAGTTACGTCACATCTAGAATGTGGGTTCATGGGAACTGCTTTTTTCTTTTTTTTTTTAGAGAGCAAACCTACCACAGACAGGCGGAGTGGAATGTGATATTGGGACACACAGTAAATGATGTAAAAAAAATACACAAAAAACACATTTCAATTGATTCATATTTATATGTAGGGAGACAAAATGAAATCTAAGTGATAATGAAGGTAGTGGCATGCAGTTGGTCAGTTCGCACATTGGCCTCATGGTTTTGAGGTTGGGGGCTCAAATTCAGGCTCTGATCTTCCTATGTGGCGTTGGCATCTTCTGCTATGCTTGCATGGGGATTCTCTGGGTACTGCGGCTTCTTTCTACGTTTCAACAGCATGGATGTTAGGTTCATTGAAGACTCTAAATCAAGTCTGGGCAAAATATGGTTCAGAGGCCACATTCGACTTGTCAACAGACTGTGACATACTCTCAGAGTGACCATGAAGTCAAAATGTAAAATACACTGTGGTTTTATTTTGAAAGTTGTCTTTTTATGTGCACGCCTGTAGTTGTAGCGGGCAAGAGCTACGATTTGTGTCTGATGTGTTATATTGCTCTATTTAGCAACTTTTCCGACCCATCTAGCAACAATTTTTCGAAAAAAGACACTTGCAAAAATGAAAACAAGGGTCCTCATGCTAACAATTCTTTTTTGCTGTACTCATAATACTGTACACAAATCGATAGTTTCATATACTATCCGGTTTATAAGTCATAACTGTATCACTATATGTAACTGTGAATACAGTAATACAAAGTATTTTCATGTGCGCCCTTTTGCAAAATGAGGTACCCACCGCTGCTCTAAATTGTGCATCAGTGTAGGTGTCTATCTTTACTAAATCAGCTTCGATAGGATCCACCTCACCCTTGACCCGAGTGATAATAAGTGATGTTTAAAATTGATGAATGAAATAATGACAGTGCATTTCCATTTATTTACATCATTAAATGTGTCTCTGAAATTATTGACGTGGGGACATTTGGGATTCGTGAACAATTTTATTACAAAAGAAAATGACATTTTACAGACATTTTTGTGATCATTTTAAATTGAGGACCATAAATGTTAAAATGCTTTCACGATAGGCATTTTGTTTATTTTCTGAAAAATATTAAAAGTATTTTCATGGGGGCGGAATAAGTACCAATGACTAGAAATAACCCATATTTTAAAGCACCTTCGATTTATAGCCTTCACACATAATGTTGTACTCGGAAAATGAAGTTTTCCGTATATCTTTTTTTTAACAATCTTTATTGAACAAGTCAGGATACAATTCTCAGTAAACAGAAAACAAAACGAACACGTTATGAATACATACATACACATGTTACAAACATTTAAGTTTTCCGTATATCTAGGTTAAGAAACTAATCGGAAGTGACGTCAGTTTGGAACTACTTTTACATATTAGTAATGCTGATTTGTTTTGTTGTAAAAATCGCCGTTAAAGGAAATTATTCAGGGTAAAGGTAACAAATTATTTTTTTTACTTCGATTATTTAAAAACATTTCTTTCGCTTGCAGGAACATGTGTCTGACCTTTCTACCCAGGATGCACTTGGCTCTTGCCATCTTGTCTGGTCGAAGAGAAGCGCCACAGCCAAGCAGGCAAGCAGTAGCAGCAGCAATAGCTAGCAGGCATCCAGCAACCGTGAGCTTCCAGTTGCGGTGCTCTTGTGGCTATCTGTCAGCTAACAGCCACAAGTAACTTACGACACTTAGAGGCCAAACTTCAACGACTTCTGACGTATTTTTTTCCTCTACGCCGCTGGACTATATTTTCTACTCGAAGGGGCCGACTGGAATGTTTACATTATGATTCCACACCTGTTGGCACTGGGGCAGGCGAAACTAGCTCACTTGAGCTAACTCGGCTAGTCGGCATTTACAAAAAGAGAGAGAAGTGGACTAACAAACCCGGGCCTGCCTCCGACTGAAGTCCCGGGGACAGTCGCTGAACTGCTCGCACGAGGGTCTGCTTGTTGCGGGCTCCGTGAGACACGAGGACGGCTGACCGGGTGTCAGAGAGAGGCCGGGGAGGCGTCTCAGGAGGTTGGGAGAGTCTTGGACCGTGCCCGTGACTTTTCTCCTGGTGGACTGAGCGAGAGGAAAACGGTATGGAAAAGTGCTGTGGCGGTACGTCTCCGTTTGTTGTCCTCCTCCAGTGAATTTATCAGGAAGACGGAACGGGGCTTCGTTTCATGTGGGAATATACTGCCTCGACAGAGCTAGCCAACATGTCAAAAATGCCAGCGAAAAAGAAGAGTTGTTTCCAGATCACGAGTGTTACGCAGGCTCAGGTGGCGGCCAACAACACCGCAGACGACACCGAGAGTCTCGACGACCCGGACGAGTCCCGAACGGAGGACGTGTCTTCGGAAATATTCGATGTTTCGCGAGCTGACCTTGCTGTGTGTGACAGGAGCTCGTCCGAGGAAACCTTAAACAACGTGGGAGACACCCAGGAGGGTCAGGCCCCTTTGACAGCTCCTGTCAATGGGGGTCTTGCCAATAATAAAAGTGCATGTGGCGGTCGTGTTACCCCGCAGCATTCCATAACAAGTGTGCCCGTTATTGCCACTGTGTCTACCACTGTCACTCCTGCGAATACCTGCAGCTCTCGCTTCAGGGTCATTAAACTAGACCATGGTACCGGAGAGCCCTTCAGAAGAGGGAGATGGACTTGCACTGAGTTCCATGACAGAGACTCTGATTCAAATGGAAATCGGGCTGTGGATAGCATCAAACCAAATGTAACCCTCGATCACAGTATAGAACGGGACAGTGGACTAGGGACCACCAGTAACACTGTGGTCTCTACCAGTGCTTCCTCCTCACAGGCTTTGGAGAATACCGTGGATAGCGGCCACACGGCTACACATCCCACTCATTCTTTTGAGGCTGTCCAGCAAGGCTTTGGCTTGGTCCCCCAAATTGGGAGTGGAGCAAGTGCCTTCCAGCCCACAGGGTACTCTACAGCGATGACATCAAAACAATTGCAAAATGCTCAGGTCACTATGCAACCTGCTGCTCCACAAACCTTCCTCTCAAATAACCTCAAGGGTGTGCACCAAGGTTCCCTGCAGCAGAAGTCTCCCATCTTGCCTCCTGCTACACAAATCCAGCACTTTCCTTATTCGAACCATCCTGCAGCCCAACCAGATTACCGGCAGCAGCAGTTGGGTTCAAGCACTCCTCCCATAACTGCTCACTCTGTGGGCCCCGCATCTCTTGTCGTGCCAGCTAGTTCAGTAGCCCAGGGCCTAGGTGTTGATGCACCCACGGCCCAGGGCCTCCTACTACACATGGCACCAGGAGGTGGTCAGCAGCAGCAACAGTTGGTCAACCCTACACAGCCCTCGGGAGGGTTAGGCCTTGCCCCCACGTCCGCTCTCGCCATAGGTGTCCTGAATGTGCCCGTCACAGTGCCCACTACCACCAGTACCCCTACGGGTGGGGCGAGTCAGGCGCCTGGCAGAGGAGGAATCAGCCCAGGCCTTCTCGCTGGATTCAGTAAGCGGGCAGAAGATGGTCGGCCCAAATCTGAAGTCCTACCTCATCCCAGTGGCAATGTGGTGCCAGGGAAAGACAGTATGAAGCCTTTCATCACAGAGGGTCTCGCCCTTCCCAGTCCTGCTGTCAACAGCTTCTTTGGCATCCATTTAACCATGGATGGTGATGAGGACAGGTAAGAGGGTATTTTCTAATCGGTATTATTACAAAGAAGGATTGTTTTCCTGTGCAGACAGCGTGGGTTCAGTTACTAGACAGTGACGGTGTGGATGTGAGAGTGAATGGTAGTCATTTCTATGGGTGCCCTATGATTGGCATTCCAGGCTAACTTTGGCTCGACTTCCATGCCCATCAGCTCTGAACGGGAAAAGTGATTCTACGATATTGATGGGTACATTATTTAGAGAGTTTGAAACCATTTTAAATATATATCTATGTGTATATATCTGAGGATTTTTTTTTCAATTTAAATGCAGTCATTTCTTTCTACAGCAGCGTGGGCATGATCTTACATGCGTCTCTTCTCACTGCAACTACAATTAGGCACCCTGAAAGTAGCATACTGGGTTTATTCTTCAAGAGCCATTGAACAAAATGTGCATTTTTCCGCTGTTTTAAGGAAGAAGGTCACAATGGGTTGATGTGCCAGTGTCACTGGTAGAAACAGGAGGAATTTTCACTCGGTGTCATGAAAAAGGTTTTAAAGCCTCCGATGGATCACATTCTTTTTTTTTTGTCATTGTCACGCAAAACTCTTTCCAGCCATGAGAGGGTGTAGTTTAGGGACGTGTTAACAAACAACGTGAACAGAGGCAAAAAAATGTAGAAGAATGATTTTTATTTTTATTCCCTAGTGTGACCATGAGAGACACCATTATGCCCTTTTAGCATTAAAACTACATGAATGTTAAATCTTGACTTGCTTACAGTGCCCATTCACATACACACAACAGCTATTTTTGGGTGCTGTCTTAGGGCTCTCATACTGCTTGAACTAAAATGTCACACTTTCTTCGAACCAGCTGAAGAAAAAGATGGTGGTACCAAAAATGACCTGGTTGGCATATCTTAAGTATGTGTATCCTGTATATACTTCACTATTCCCCAATGTTCAGTTCTTCAGTGCTAAATCAAATGGTACATAGCTAGGAGGAAGAGTTGGGGTTTTCGGGGAAACAAGTCTGCTCTAGATTGTCCTCTGTCTCAATACTGCTGCTAATTGTTTTAATAGATGCTTTATCCCTGCCGCAATACTGCAACTGGCTTGATAAATGTGCACAAGGCAAAGAACTGTGTTTGCGTTGTCCATGCAGATAATCATGAAAGGAATAGCCGGTACCCATTTCTTAGTCGGGAAGACAGAAGCGGGAGTGATGAAAAGTGGACTGACATCACTGCACGCCTGTGTAGCTATGACGACATTGGCACCAGGACAGGACATTTAATTGGCGAGGAGAGGGGGAGGCCATTTTTGCATTAGTCACACACACATGCACACACCTATGAGGATCACAGTGCGCATCTAAGGTGATTTTGTGTGTGTGTGTGTGTGTGTGTGTGTGTGTGTGTGTGTGTGTGTGTGTGTGTGTGTGTGTGTGTGTGGGATGACAAGGCGGGATAATGTGTGCTCTGGGGTCTGGTGCACAAAATCAAGACTTCAATGTCTTTGTTGACACATCAGCATAGCTAGGTGTTGATTCGTTTCTTGACTCAGATTTATTTGTTCTTCACAAGATTGTCTAGCCCAGCATGGGCAAACTACGGCCCGCGGGCCGGATCCGGCCCGTTGGTCTTTTTAATCCGGCCCGCCAAAGGTTGGTACAGTACACAATTAAGGTTCGATGTAAATTATTGCATTCATTTCATTTGGACTTGTAATACAGGCATTTAAACGCCAGGTGGCGCAGTTACTTGAAGTCGCAGAGCACAAGGAGGGAGGGGGAGACGATACGGAAGGCCGGAGTAGCACTAACTCAAGTAAGTCGCGCTCGATACGACGAA